AGCCAGGTATGGGGAGTTCCGGCACTTGCAAAATTCATGTTAAAAAAAATCAGTAAACCCCAAACTTCAAGTTTTTCAAAACCCAGGAATTTTTCAGATGCAGTCAGTAAATTCCAAAAATGAAAAGAAAGGGGAAAAAATACATGTTTAAAATCACAGAAAACTGGATGCAAACAGGTCACTATGGAGACTGCTAGAAATAAGTCACATTTATAGGGATAATATGTATTAGAGGGATGGGGCAGAAGGTTTTAAAATACACAAATTTTCCAAAACATGTTGAACAAGCTCTGCTTGTATCACTAATAAACTAGAGTATTGGTGTATTTTGGTCTTTAATCTTGTTTGATATAGATTTAACGTAATGTTCTGTCATAAACTCTGAATGCATCATGGCAGGTCACTCTCTCAAATGGGGAAAGAGCCTACAAGCAAGAGTAATTGTCAGTCTCCTCACACTAATTGGACAGTGTTTTGGGGCCACTCGATTTGTGTAATTCCAGTTTCAGTAGCCCCTCTCCTGCACTGGTCCAGTGCATCCCCATCACTTTCCACACTAAGCTTTGTGGACAAAATGACACAGTGTACTCCTGCTCTACCCTCTTTAGGAAATTGCTGAAAAGACCTTCCGTAAGCCCACCTATGCCAGAGTAAACTGCGTGCTATATTAATAAGAACTAAAAATCTAAAATAAGTGTGAGATGACAAACTAGGACACAAGAGTTCAAAAATGGTCTAAATTTTCAAGAATGGGCTAAGAATTACTTGCTCACAACACCTGTGGAAATTACTTTAGTCTGCTAAATCTAACTCAACATGTATGCATTTCTTACTATTTCACAAATTGTAATAAACCCTGTGACATCCATGCTATAGTGACTTGTGCTGCAATCCCTCAAAGTATGTAGAAAATTGCAAATACACGTTTTGGAATTTCCAAGCACAAATAAGATCTAGGTCAATAGCTTCCTGGTAAATTAACAATATTCAGCGTACCCAAAAAGATTCAAAATGCGGGGGGTGGGAGGGGGAGAATGCTACTACAGGATCCAATACATTCAATGTTGTAAATTCTTTTTGCTAAATTATTTAAATGAAAGACCCAAAAGCATTAAAATATATTCCTTATTCTTTCCTTTAGCTTCAAGTCAGATCATGACCAAGGTGAAATCCTAGCCCCAATGAAGTCAATAGCAAAACTTCCTTTGACTTTAATGGGGTAAGGATTTCACCCTAGATCTCTAATAGTTTCACAACTTCAATGCAAAAAGCATTAAGTATTGCAATCAACTCACTACTTTGTGTAATTTAAAGTTAAAGAAAAGAATAAGGAATACAATTTTGATCAATGACTTACTTCATAAGTAAAAGTTATCCTGAAGCAATTTTATCAGTGTTTAGCATTCTGGACATTCTACTGGATGTTGGTAATTAACAATATCACCAAGGAGGAGGACATCGCACCCTAGTGCAGTGGTGTAGCTCTATTGACTTCAATGAAACTGTGCTGAATTACTGACCAGCTTACTGTCAACTTACTAGCTAAAGAACTGGCCCCATAATAGAAACGAAGACAATAATCATTTTTATTTTTACACAGTCCCTTTAAACAGATACATCCTAAAGTACTTTACGAACTGTGCTGGCTGTTCAAACTACATACAGAAGTTCGGACTTTGCCCAGCCTTGCCCACATGCATAAGGAATCGCCAGGGCGGAAGGAGACTTTTCCCTACTCTCCTGTGACCTTTTGTTCTTGTACTCTCCAGCATGCAAGTATTATGTGGGTGCAGTGCTTACAATAGGGTGACCAGATGTCCCGATTTTATAGGGACAGTCCCGAGTTTGGGGACTTTTTTTTTTTTTTATATAGGCTACTATTACCCCCCACCCCGTCCCAATTTTTCACATTTGCTGTCTAGTTACCCTAGCTCACAATGATATTAAACAAATCAAAAGGGACAAGGAGGGATGAAAGCAGAGCTCCATGTTCTCCACATTAGACAGTAGGGCTTGTGAACTCCACAGTTCCCTGTTCATGGGAGCTCTAACTGAACAACCCTTAAATTTCTTGAATGTTTCTGATTTCTTTGTTATAGTATTCAACCAGCTCTCATTATGAAAACGTGAAACCAGGTTTATAATGCACATTTGGAACCCTAATTATAGCTACCATTTCTGGTGCTGATGAGGGTATCACCTCTACCGTCTCTTTTGGGAGGAAACTTGCTGGGTGCTGTCAAATAGTTACCAACACTACACAACAGTTTAGTACAGGAAGCTAAAAATGAGGATTCACAAGGGGAATCAAGATACAACACTGCAATGTACTGAGCACTCTCAGTAGGTTCCTGTGAGTGCAGGCTGAATTACTTGAGTTGGAATATTGCTAGGGCTAACACACCTACTCTTGCAAGAAGTGCCATGCACAAGTAATGAGGACCTGTGATCAGAGAAATGGCAACTATAGCAGCACAGTGCCCCCTAACGCCATGCTACTCAGAGAAAAGAGTGTTCCCTACTAAATTGCTTTGTGAAACACCTGATTTTCTCTAGTTGTCCCCACCCAAGCACTGAGCCAATCCATCCCAGCTGAGTTTATAAGGTCTGACAAGGATAACGTTGAAATGATATGGCAAGATGCCATATTAATTTTTAAAATGATGAAAAATACCACGACAAGTGCTCTTCAAATATGCTTAGTATTATGAAACTACAGGAACTGCTCACTTAACGTTGTAGTTATGTTCCTGAAAAGTGCGACTTTAAGCAAAACGATGTTAAGCAAATCCAATGCCCTTCCCCCGTACAGCAAGCAGGAGTCTCTGGGAGCAGCTCCAAGGCAGAGGGCAGGAGCAGCACATGGCAGTGGGGGGAGGGACAGCTGCTGCACAGGGAACTTAGGAGAGTGGAGAGCTGATGGGGGGCTGCTGATCCACCCTGGTTCCAACCACCCACCAGCTAGCTGCAACGGGCTGCTCTTCCTGCAAGCAGTGGACAAAACAGGCGGCTGCCAAATGACGTTAGAAGGGAGCATTTCACAACTTTAAATCAGCATGTTCCCTAATTGATCAGCTACTTAACATTGAAACAACATTAACCGGGATGACTTTAAGTGAGGAGTTCCAGTATATGGAGCACTGCCTAACTTAGCGTATGTCTACACTTCAGCTGGGAGCATGCTTTCCAGCTCAGGTAGAAAGACATGTGCTTCAGTTAGCATGCTAAAAATAGCAGTGTAGCTGGGGGTAGCAGCTCAGGTGGTAGCAGCCTGTGTATGTAGCTGGGTGTCTGGGAGGGTTTGTACTCAGGAAGCTAGCCAGAGCTGCCACTAACCCCAGCTACACTGGTCTTTTTACTGCACTAGTTTGGGCAGAGCTACCATATGTATGTCTACCCGAGGTGGGAACCATGCATAAAGCAAAAGACAAATTCCATGGTGTAGCACATGAGAGCTGGGGATAAATCATTCTCAGTAGAAGGGATCCAGCTATGGAATAAACTTACAGAGTATATTAGGCAAATCACATCAGACTATCTTTAGGAAACACTGCAAAATGTTCCTCTTCGAAAAAATATTTCCATCATAACAAGAATGACACAACAGAAGAAGAAGAGCGCTGTGTGGCTCAAACGCTTGTCTCTCTCACCAACAGAAGTTAGTCCAATAAAAGATATTACCTCACTCACCTTGTGCAACTTATAACATTGATACATTGATCTACCCAAACACCCGCCAAAAATAAACAAACAAACAAACAAATAGAATTTTGTAACAAACAAATCTACCAGTCAACATCAGAATTAAACATATGAAAACAAAGTTTATTTTTATCCCCAAAAGCACAGTATAAAACCCTAAGATCACATACACACAAACACCATTAAAAGCTTTAATTAATTACTGTGATCTATCAAGCCATCATATTTTGCTTATATCAGTCCTTTTTTACATAGAAAATGTCCTTTGTCATGCCACTTAAGCAGACCAAAGAATCCTTAAAGCTGTTGGAGAAAGCCACTGGTGAATTCCCTGTGCAGGGAAACTTTGTATAAAGCTGGTGGGGGTGGCTTTGTCACTTCAGGACTATCTTCCCTTTCCCCGTTGTAAGGGGGAAATGGAGGTATAATGGGGGTGTTCAAGGGCAGGGCATGGAGAAGGGGAGGATGCATATGGAGCAGAGCTACACATGACCCATTATTAGCATAAGATTCCTGAGAGACCTCATGCCAGTAGCATAAATTAGGTTTACCCTTGCATAGCCCTAATGTGCTGGAGCCATGTGACCCTGTTAGGGAGCCGCAACTGGCTACCAACAGCCTCCTGGCCTTTCTGCTCAGTCTGTGCAGCTCAAATACAGTGGAGAATCAAGTCCAGAGTGCTTTTTATTACAGCCAGGACTTGACTGAAGCCCCACCAGTGAAGGCTGCCAAATCACCCCACTGGCATTCTGGCCACATCACCTAACCAGCCAACAGTCCCATTTTGTGGTCTTTCTTCAGGCCTCTGCCAAAAGGAAGATTGAGATGTTCTTCTTAGCAAACCTTTTTCACTCAGGGGCATCTACCAGTTTTGGACACTTGGGCTTGATCTAGCCCAATTTATTGACCTTTTTCCACTCACATTACTTTATTTTATTATTAAATAATTAACTGCAAACTATCTGGTATCAGGTAGATCACAATAGATCCTGAATATCTCCAGTCTGATTTTCACAGGTGCTGAGAAAACATGGAAGACAATGAGAGCTGCAGGTGCTCAGCATCTGTGAAAGTTTTCCCTCAAGAAACAGAAAAATGCAAATGCAGAGCTGTAAAACAGGAAAGAAAGGGGGAAAGGAAATTATCGAAACTTCTCCAACTTTAAAAAGGTTTAGTTTGGCTTCAGGTTCAGTTACAGGCTTGGGTGAGGCTTTTCATTGATTTGGATTCTATATGGATCAGTTCACCCTCTCATTAGCGACATCCTTTTGCTGTTGCTATCACCTCCCATCACTTACCATCTTTCAAGATTGTCTCACGCTCTGTGCCATCAATTTTCTGTCGCCCAATCAGGAAGCTTGTAGTGTCAGCGAAGTAGATGTAATTGGTCTCTGCATGGAAGTCCAGAGCACGAGGGTTGACCAGGTTTTCTATGGGGATCATGTATTCATCAGCAACTTTGGAATTCAGGTCCATTCCTCGTATGATTCCCGGGCGTCCCTTCCCATAAAACAGGAACAACTCATTCTTTGGTCCTGCAGAAGAAAGATTGCAAAATGCAAACAACCATTGCCGCCTAATCTTCTTTATGCTGCATAATGTCACTTGTTAATTAACCGGCACAATTAGAGGTTTTTTATTCAATACCAAAAACTAAACCCTTAAATATTCTGAATGTATCTAAACTCAAAAAGACTAGCTAATTACATTACCTTAATTAAAATACAAATAACTTCTGTGATTAGGTTATATCTAATTAATCATTCTTTTGTCTGTAACAGTCCACATTGCAAAAACATGACAGATCATAAGATCACACTGGCTACAAAGTTAAACAGCATGTATAATATCGTAGGCATTTAATTTTACAATTCATTAGGCTCTGTCAAGGCTGTTGTAGACAGTGACTGTGGCATTCATTAAATCTGACAATACAGAAAACTTCAGCAAATTCAAAACAGACCACTCAAAATCTTTCATCTGAAGACAGGCAGAAACAAATAAATCAAAAGATCTTTATCTCATTTGGACAGTGCTAAGAATCCACACAAATGACACTCAAAGTTTTGCTGCAAACATAAGAAAAAAATTATGGCAAAACTTTTCATCAATGCCTCTAGAGCTCTAGGTTGGATTTTTTAATCAAATCTGTTTGGTTTTAGCTGATGTACATAAAATTCAGTTACAGGGTGGGAAGAAAGAATAAACTATTTATTTGAAAATTTCATCAGATTTTTTATTGATGATGCCCAAACCCCAAAAGCATTTGAGAATCAGTTTAGTTTACCTGTAAGTGTCAAAATACGAGCATCTATCTACTTGTGCGGTCCGCATCACACTATTATCTGAACTAAATCAAATGTCTTTGGCCAAGAAATCAGACTAAAAATCTCAGAAAACCAAGCTCTCTCATAAAACGTTTACGACTCATATTTTGGTTGGATCAGATAATCCACAGGTTGTGTTTCTCTCAGAATACTCCATCTGCTACTGGTCCCAGCCCAAATCAGGAATTTTCAGAGAAGAAATACTTAAGCTTCAAAAAATGTTTGCATTTCTTATGTTTCTCAAATCAACTTGTTCTTCCAAACTATCATGGACAAAACCCTGTTTGACTTATTCACACAGTGGGACTGCTTATGAATCAGAATGGTGAGAAGGATTTGACCCGCTGTGGGTAAAACTTAATGTGAAAGTATTTAATTCTGTTGCAGTACTGATGTATTATGACACCACATAAACAGAGAGTAAAAGTTACTAAATGAAAATTTGGAAGGATTTGGTTTTGTTGTTGTTGTTGTTTTTAATTTTAGTCAATAGTGCCTCAGGTTAAATTTATCCATTTCTATAGAATGAATTTAGTCAGATAGCTTTAAGGGAATAAAAGAAGAATGTGAGCAAAATGGCAGGTGCATATTGCAAGCAAATTTTACCTAACAATTTATGTTATTTCTATTGTTGTTGATGATAATGTTAATTAACACTCAGAATGCTACTCTGAAATATTAGCTGCTAGCAAAGTGTTTGATTTTAACAACATACTTTTGCATGACCTGCCATCACTTCCCAAGACGAAGCCAGTCCTGCAGCGACAAGTCCGTGTTTTGTAGTTGCTGCTGAGCAGACAGATGTGCGAACATCCCCCTGGCATTCCATATGGGTCTACTTCACATGCATGGCTTCTGACTACAACAAATGAAAAATAGCATGCTTGAAATCTTTTAAAAGCAAGATAATTATATGCATCAGCATGTTGAGAGTTTAGACAGAAAAGTGAATCTGAGCTACAATCCATCTTTTCCCAGCATACAGTCATAAAAGAGGTCAGAATTTTTAAAAATGATGCCCCAAACAGACAGGTATATAAATTCAAAGTGCTATAATGTAGCTATTAAACCACATTCCACATTGGAGTAGGTACGCCAGCACTCTATATGAACAATAGACCTGAGAAGCATTCGCGGAAGTAGCACATCACAGTGGAGACTGACATTATTTAACAGAGTGCAGCGTGTGCTCCTTCCATGTCAACTAAGCTCAGTATTGATCCACACCCTGGCTCTATATCCTTGTGGGGGAGTCTACTACTATCTCTCAGTCATTATGCTCAGTTAGGACAGGACTGGGATTTTGGCACATCTATGTACACAAAAGCAGTAAGGCTTCCGCGCAAACTCTTTTCCACATTTGCACCACTATGCAGAGCAAGCCACAGTTTGCCCAAAATGATCGTTTCTCTTGATATTACATTTTAAAGGCATACTTCTGAATTAACAGTAAGAGTATCCAAAATTAGGTATGAAAATATTTGATAATTAAGATAAGGGAAAAGACTTACCTTCTAATTCCACCTGTCTGAAGATATCATCTTGCAGGATTTTTATTCAGGGTTTCTAGCTACTTAGTAATTCTCTTAGTTCTTTAGATTTATTGACACTTGAGGGTACAGACAGTGGGGTAGAGTGTGAACTAGGCCACCTATTGACGGGCACATACCACCCCTGTCAAGTATAAATGCTGGCCTGCAAACATTCTAGTCAGGTCCTAGCTTTGTAATCTATCATTTAAATCAGCTTCTGCACCAAATGACTGGTGGATAGCTAATGTGACACCAATTTTTAAAAAGGGCTCCAGAGGTGATCCCGGCAATTACAGGCTGGTAAGCCTGACTTCAGTACTGGGCAAACTGGTTGAAACTACAGTAAAGAACAAAATTGTTAGACACATAGATGAACATAATTTGTTGGGGAAAAGTCAATATGGTTTTTGTAAAGGGAAATCATGCCTCACCAATCTACTAGAATTCTTTGAGGGGGTCAACAACATGTGGACAAGGGGGATTCAGTGGCTATAGTGTACTTAGAGTTTCAGAAAGTCTTTGACAAGGTCCCTCACCAAAGGCTCTTAAGCAAAGTAAGCAGTCATGGGATAAGAGGGAAGGTCTTCTTATGGATTGGTAACTGGTTAAAAGATAGAAAACAAAGGGTAGGAATAAATGGTCAGTTTTCAGAATGGAGAGAGGTAAATAGTGGTGTCCCTCAGGGGTCTGTACTGGGACCAGTCCTATTCAACATATTCATAAATGATCTGGAAAAAGGGGTAAACAGTGAGATGGCAAAATTTGCAGCTGATACTCAAGATAATTAAATCTCAAGCAGACTGCAAAGATTTACAAAAGGATCTCACAAAACTGGGTGACTGGCAACAAATTGGCAGATAAAATTTAATGTTGATAAATGCAAGTAATGCACATTGGAAAACATAATTCCAACTATACATATAAAATTAGCTATTACCACTCAAGAAAGAGATCTTGGAGTCATTGTGGATAGTTCTCTGAAAACATCCACTCAATGTGCACAACAGTCAAAAAAGTTAACAGAATGTTGGGAAGCATTAAGAAAGGGATAGATGATAAGGCAGAAAATATCATAATGCTTCTATATAAATCCATGGTACACACACATCTTGAATACTGCGTGCAGATGTGGTCGCCCCATCTCAAAAAAGATATATTGGAATTGGAAAAGGTTCAGAAAAGGGCAACACAAATTATTAGGGGTATGGAACAGCTGCCATATGAGGACGTATTAATAAGCCTTGGACTTTTCAACTTGGAAAAGAGATGACTAAGGGGGGATATGATAGAGGTCTATAAAACCATGACTGGTGTGGGGAAAGTAAATAAAGAAATGTTATTTACTCCTTCTCATAACTCAAGAACTAGGTTTGCCAAATGAAATTAATAGGCTGTAGGTTTAAAACAAACAAAAGAAATATTGCATGTGTGTGGGGGGGGTGGGGGTGGGATGGGATTCTAGTCTAGGAACCTCTCAATAGTGGGTCTTGTAGGTTCTTGTAGTTTGAATTTAAAATAATCTGTCTTGGACAGCTTCTATAAAAACCAGTTAAAGGAAAGATCATCCCCTGCTGAGACACTTCCTTTGTTCTTCTCTATAGCAGAAAAAGTATCTACTATCAAAAGAGAACCCCAGTTCATCTGGGTGGCTCTTATATGGAGGAACACTCATCTGATAAGCTAAGTGCTTCCAACTGCAAAGCTGAGGCTCAAAAATAGCAAGATGTGTGAATGCTTGGTGAAGACTTGGTTTTGCTGGTGATAGCAGAGAACATTTTGCTGAGGAAGCTGTTCTCAAGAAGAAGCTATGCCTGTGTCAACATATGCAGCATTGGCACTGAGTCCTGGTGCTCACTGATCTTGTCCAACTCAGGTTTTAGCTTTGAGCATCTTGGACTGGCCTCATGCCAGACTTCTAGAAGTCTCCTTGAGATTCCTCAAGGAGGGCTTGGAGGTGGCACCCATGTTCTTATTCTGCCACACCGGTAAAGGTGGAAGTCGCAAAGTGGCCTTCCTTCCTCTTTAGATGCCATACTTGAAATAAGGGGGGAAAGGTCCTTAAAAGTCATTGGCCACAACTCATGGCATTGAGGGAATTGCAAGAGTGAAAGAAGATCAAGTACAAAGACAGACAACAAACTATAAGATGTTTGGATGCTCAACAAATTTTTGCCCTGGAGCTCCTAGGACTCAGACACTGGGGTGAGGATCACAGTGCTGCCACAAGAGGACCAGGAAACCAGAAAAAATGCCACAGCAGGGGCAAAAAAAGAAGAGGGTGGGAGTTCTGAAAAAGATTAGTGATACCTGCAAGCCAAAAGAGGTGCTGAAGCATCACAGTGCTAAGAAGAAAAGGTACCAAAGTGCTGAGAAAAAACAAGTGCCAGGGAACCAATGTAAAACCAGGTGCTCAAATAGGGTAAGTACTGCTGAAGGATACCAGACAGGCTTCATTAGAATCCTGGGTGCTGGAGATCAAAGAAAAACAGTCTCCTGTGGGGAGATCCTTTGCCATCTTTGTCAAGGAGAAAGTGACGGGAGCATTCATAAAGCACTTGGGTTTTTGCACAAAAGTGAGGATACATGATGGATGCTGGACAGCAGGACATGCTATATCTAAGTGAAAACACAGCCAGTGCTCTTCCCAGAGCACTTTTTCTGGCATTCAGGATCATGATCTTCCCTACCCTTTCCAGAGATGCCTCATCTGAATGCTAACCCCTCCACTAGTTCCCTAGTTCAGTAAACCAGATTATGGATTCCTCTTGTACAGGGAGCTTGGAGACAGGATTCCTATATTCTAAAATTTCACTCTTCTAGCACACCTATGCAGGGCTCAAAGCCTATTTTCTTTTTTATTCCCAACTTTCTGTTTTTGTTTTCTTAACAAAGAAAATATTATTCAAGTTCCGTATTCTAAAGGTATAACAGAAACCTAACCAAGCTGAGATAGCCTGTACAGCAAATCTTAATGAGCAACAAACATGTCCATTCAGAACATAACTGGTCTAGTATAACAAAGAGCACAGGAGAATACCACATAGTCACAAAGGATGTAACAAAAGTTACATCAAAATCATACATCCTGTGTGCTAAACCTCCTTGCTCCCCATGAGGACAAGAGGTCAGCCTACAGCAGTATGATTTTTGCAATGCTCTTCGTGGATGGCATCTGCAGATCAATGTTCTCAACTATGGGTTGAAAATCAGTTCATCCAATCTATATCAAGCGAGAGTTTGATGCAGCTTCAGAATCCTTTGTAACATAACAGTTCAATTATATAATAAAGTTCACATTGTCTGTAAAGCTGGTGTGCCAGTTCTCATATTAGAGTAGCCAAAGCAATAATATCTGTTCTTGTGAATGATATCAAATAGCTCTTCTTGGGAAACCATCATTTTACAAAATTAGAGCCTTACCTTTCAGTGTCTGCACGTCCAAAATTTCCACAAAAATCAGTCGGTATTTTGTGTGTGCAAGGTCTGCAGGATCAGGCACGTAATTAGAACTGTGCAGGAATGGGATTTTCCCATCAACAAAAAAGTTTGAGATTTTGAATGTTTTCATTTTGAATTAGAACAAAAACAAAAAAACTAAAAAAAAATGTGTGAGGGGAAGGTGAGAAATATTCCATTTTAGGATAATTGAAACATTTTTTTTTGGGCTTGCTGACTGCCCTCCTAACAGGTGTCCAGGCTGCCTGGAGTCCTGGGCTGCCCCTCAGGTAAGCCCTGGGGAGCCAGGCAGCCTGGAAAGCTTGGAAGCCTGAGGAGCTGACCAACCAGGGATTCTGGGGAGCCTAGGATCCCAGGGAACTCCAGCCTTCAGCACCCCACCAGGCAGCCAGCCAGGGATTCAGATATTCCACCAGCTGGGAAGTCTGTAAGCCTGGGGATCCTGGCTCCCTGGCCACCCACCAGGCGGGCAACCTGGGATCCTGCAAGGCAAGAAGCTAACCACCCATTGAGCCCTGGAGCCCAGGGAACCTAGCTTATGGCAGCCCATCAGGCAGGCTACTGAGGGTCACTGGGAACCTCAGTTCTCAGGAAGCTCACCAGGCTCACTGCCATGGAATCTGGAGGCTTGGGGGCACAGAGAAGCGAGTGGGCTGGCTTGCAAGTTGGCAGGAAACTGAACAGGCAGGCAAGCTTGCAGGCTGCCTGCTTTCTGTTGAAAGTTTTAACAGAATCAGCTCATTCCAGTGGAATCTTCTGAGTCTGTCCAATCAGTATTTTCCAATGGGAAACTGTTCCATAGGAACGTTTTTGACCTTCTCTACTCATATCTATTTTCCTAGCAGATGCACAGAAGAGTTACATAAGTAACTCCATTACTTGTCATAGGGGTTTTCTACATAAAAATCATACCTATCAATATGCCTGTTAGAACAAAGGGCAGATTAGCTCCCAGCATAACCACAAAGATTTCAATGAAGTTACACCAGAACTGGCTCCAGAGAAGAGTCTACCACAAAGAGAATTTTGAGCGTACCTGATGGTTGCGTTCTTTTCTGATAGACATGGATCTCTCTTGCATTTTCAAGTCTAATCAGTGACTGAACATCTGTGCGATTGTATCTGTTTATTTGTAAGATGCTGAAGTTATCTGAATTAGTTGCATATAGATAGTTTTCAAATACTGTTAAACTATAAAGATGCCTAACCTGAAAAAGAGAAAAAACATGGCTATTTTTATCATGACTTTAGAAAATAAATAATAATAATAATGTAATATATAGAGACTGAACTGTATAACAGAACCAGTTTTTGAAAAAGTCAATAAATATTTTTAAAATCTCAGTGAAGCCTAACCATCAAGTGATTTCTGCTTTCTTTTCACTAGAGCAATATAATATTTTGATTAAAATTCATGTTTTACAATTAAATTTATGTAAAGACAGAAAAAAATCATTATATATATATATATACATACTCACACACACACACCATTCTAAACACACTTCTATAAGTCTCACAGAGCTTTTTTTTGTCTTAGCTGTGTCTGTCTTCTAGATTGTAAACTCTTCAGTGCAGGAAATGTTTTAAGTGAGTAATAAATAATAAATAAATAATAATAATAGCATTATTATTATAATTACAACATTCAGTATAGAGTAGTAAAAGGCTATTATCTACATACAACATGGAAGAATCATGCATGCACAATACGTAAGGTGACTCACTTTCTTATTTGAATAATGTTATAATTAGAGTTGAGTGAATGCTGTAAAATGTTTTCGATATATATTTTCTTAAATTTTTAAATGAGTTCCCTGGGGTGTACCAGGCCTTTGTGGCTCCTACTGGAGGACCCACTACTCTTCTATACCCCGCGCTAGGAAGCAGTGAGATGGCAGGAAAACAGCAGCAGAGGCGGGTCCTCCAGGCCTACTCAAAGAGGCCTCATGAGAGCAGCTATCTTGGAAGCTAGAGAGACTTGGTCCTCCTAGGACTAGAAGAGCTAGAGACAACCAATGATCCAGCAGGTTCAGATAAAAGGAGCTGCAGGGCCTTTGCAGATCAGTTTCTGGCTAGGAACAGAGGAATGAAGAAGGGTGCTCCCCCCTTGACCCGGGAACAGAACCTGAGAAGGTAAAAGGGGCCTTGTAGGAAGAGCCCCAGGCAAATAGCAGTGATGGATTGGAGTGAACAGTATGTAGTTGCTGTGTATGGGGTCCCTGGGTTTGAACCACAAGTAGTGGGTGGGCCTGGGTTCCCCTACCAGCCACAAGTAAAGTGGCATAAACCCCAAGAAGGGGACAAGCCTTATTTGGGAGTCAGAATAAAAGGATGAATTTAAAGGATCCAGAGATGGGGCTGAGACCCTCGTGGGTGCAAATAGACTGTTTAATTACCAAACTCTTTAATACCCAGAAAGGGGTTTATTTGGACTTTGTGACTTGGCCGGAGGGCCAAGCCTTTGAAGACTGATCAAGGTCAGCCAGCAATCTGTAGGGGGAGCAAAGGTGGAGAAAAGGAGTGTAGTACCCCATCAAGTTGCTCAAAGGCACTCCACAGGTGAATGCCCCGTTACATCATCCTAGCACTCCTTTTTGTATTGACTTTCTGTGAATTTTTGGGTGGCTGTGTTTTACTGGAATAAATGCTTGCTAAAAATAAGTTCCAACATCGTATTCATAGTATTCAGGCTTAATGTGTGTATCTATGCATGTGTGGAAGTGCATTCATTCAGTCAAGAAACAGGGACACAAAGTTAGTTAACTAACCAATCACTTTTATCAAACAACTTGAATATCAAACATCCAATATTCCAGAGACTGTTTGTGACCAACTGAAAGAGTTTAAAAAATAAAATAAAATAATTATTTTGAAACAAAAATCAAGGAAATTCCAATTTGATGGTAGATATTCCAAAAGATGAATATTTGATTCTATTAATCAAGGAATTATTCACTGTGATGTATCCACTCAGCTCAATGTTATGCTAGACACACAGACACCTTTCTTAAAATTCTTATTTTGTACCACTAAAATCCCACCCATTTCTGAAAATTACTCCTACCGGGCCAGATCTTGGCATCCATACTCAGACCTTACTCAGTCAAAACTCTAAATTGAAATCAATAAAAGTTTTGCCTGATTAAGACTCAATAGGATTTAGTCCAATCATAGTTATGGGAATGTGGAGAAGAAAACACTGAAAATAATGATGCATCTGCATTACTTTGCAGTAAACTATTACAATGCCAATGTTTTACCAAGAAAATATTATATTATATTATATTTGTAAATATTTTAATATTGAAGGAATAGAGCCCTGTGCTTAAGAGAAAGATTCCCTCCTGCATTATAATTTCTTTCCCCCCATTTGCCCATTTCTTAACATTTTATTATTCATTTGCATCCCATTGTGAGGTACTATACTGACTTAATTGGAGTTGTGCAACTATATTTTTATGATATATTTTATGATGTTTTAATTATTTTGTATCTGTTTTATGCATTATTGTGATGGTTTTTAAGCATAAATGCAATTCCCCAAGTATCTTGCAAACATAAAAAGACATATAGCTTACTACCAATGAAGCCAAAGAGATGGAAGTCAAAGAGACTATACATGACTATACCAGTAAGCAATAAGCCAAATCTTGTTTTCAGGATCAAGACTTTAATATCTACAAAGAATACCAGTTAATATACTTGAATTATATAGATTTAAAGGAATCCATTTTTATCATTTTTATGAGATGAACAGACTTTTTTATAAGAGCAAAAAATAGAATTCCATTTCCCAGTGTTTAAATATGTCTATATGTTCATTCAGCTAAAATTTCTCTCTGTTTATTTGATTATATAACCTCCTCCCCTGCAGGGCCGGCTCCAGGCACCAAGCACCCAAGCTGGTGCTTGGGGCGGCACCTGGAGGGGGGCGGCGCGGCGCTCCGGCCGCCGGGGAGAGCGGGGCCACAGCCGGGCTCGCCGCCCTCCCCCCGGCGCTCTGGCC